CTTCCATAGTTTAATGAATAGACAACAAAAAGCATTTTGTCTTGAGGTTGTTATTTTGCTCTTAGCCAAAACAAGATGCCAGGTACTTTCCTCTTACTTTAGGATCACAGATGTTCTGATCTACAGGTCTGTGAACTAGCTAGGTTTATACTACCTGTGGTTTGTGGATGCTTTTTCAGATAAATCTCACAGGTTCCAACTGAGGATAACTGTAACATTCCTGGAGTCTGAGATCTAGACAACTGGAGACGAAATGCAGAGATAAGATAATTTAAAAAATTTAGATTGTTTTTCCAAGATAATTCTTATAATGGGATAAAGATTTTCAAGTTTTTAGTATGGTATTATCTTTAAAAGATGAATGCTTATCTGAGAGGAAAAGACACTCAATATTTCATTTCATTAACAAGAATGAACAAAACTGTTATTGAAAAAAAATGCAAATAAAGCAGTTCATAAATAAAATGTGTCTTTTCTTCAATTTAACTCATCTTTCACTTATCACTAATTGCTGATCCATTTACGCATGGATTTTCATGCCTTTGTGAAAACTAATGAAATATAACATATAGGCTGATGTTTCTGATTGAATAACATTCAGCTTAATTTTGTACAACTGACCTTTTATTATATAAATAAAGTAAAAACTCGAAAAAATTACAGATGATATTTCCTTATTATAATTTAATCATCCTATTAAGACAATTTTTGCCAGGCTAGGGCTGGCTATCTAATAGAAATAATTCAACCTTGATCAATTTCAGTACATTGGTCCTTTAGGGACTTCTTTTTCTTAGTTATTGTCAAGTTATTAGACAAATGATATCAGATATCAAATGTTTGCAAGTTTTTAAGTACAGCTGTATTATTTATTCTCTCTCTAGATGTGGTCAACCCTAATATTTGCTGGATTTGTTTTTCCCATTGTGAATTTCTTAAAAACACAATGCAAAACATAAATGTTATGCTTTAATGTTCCTTAGTCAGTCTTTGTATTTTCTTACCCTGGTTAGAAGGAAAACAGAAAATAAACTTTTGTTTATAAGAATTCGGACTCTAGGCTGATGGCTCACCCCAACCTAATGAATAACACTGTTCTTACTCCACTGCTGAGACCAGGACTTGCTCCCCTGTCTAAATGAACTATAGCTGCATGAAGCTACTGTATATAAGGAGTTTGTAAAAATATAGCACAGAAGAGCTCACATTTAGATAAAGCACCCAATGTCTTAACTTCTGACATACCATGCATCATCATGAACCTCCTGAGAAATTATTAATCATTACTGGAAACAGAAATTTCATAAATCCTGTCCAAAGCTAGGCAAGGGAAACAGGGTTGTCACTGTTACAGCTACGTTTTACTTCTAATATATTTTTTTTTAGAAATAATTTCTTCTATGTAGTAAAAGTGATGCACTAAACTTTAATGGAACAGTAAAGGAGAATGAAAGTTATACTTGTGTCAAAAGAATAGCATGAAACAGATGCTGATGAAAAATATATAAACTTCCTTTAAAACCTTTTCAACCATTTAGAGACCTATATCTGAGTAGGTAGGTAGGAAGGGGACCAGGGCTGAGGCAGTAAATAGAGAACTAATATTAAAAACCTCTAATCTCATGAGATGTAACCCTTTAATGAATAGTTCATAGAATCTTTTATGTTTATTTACCTTATTCTGTAGGTATAATTTCCAATAATTTAAATTTTACCAAAGTTAGTGTTCACATCCTGTTTTAAAACAGTTGAATCCTTATGCTATTTGAGAAATGAGGGGCTGGGGGTAAGAACCATTTTAAATAGTTTTTAATCTTTTATTGTTGATGAGGTCTGCTTAGCCTTCTGAAGCCCCACAATACATTCTACTCATGCATGTGGTTCTCTCCATTATTACTAATTCTTCCTGCTTTATGGTCTTATCAGGCAGAAGCATTCACACTGCGCTTAGACTTCTGTATTTAATGTAAAATTTAGCACAGTGCATGGAGTCATTTCTGTGTATATTCTAATACTTCCTTCAAGTATGATTTCTGAGGACAAATAAAAACACTACTAATTTTTAGGTCAATTTTCTTATAAAAAAAGAAGGATTTAAAATTAAGCATTTGAATAGTTTCTAAAAATTCTCAATTACATTTAGCTTGATTTAAAGTTACTAATTTGTTCATGTACAGAACTAAATGAAACCTGAACTTCCAAATAGCAAGTACGTGAAATGAAATTATCTTATTAAGTGACCTATCTAAAAATAAAAACAAAATCTACCTTATTTCAGTAATTTTTTGCTTTTAAAAAATGGGCTATGATGCAAGAAAAAGGCTCGAGGGGTACTTAAATATAATTGGGGACCAAATACTTAAGTCAATAGGGAAAGTCTGGGCAGAGGCATTTCATTTTCAAATAAATGATATTTTACATTTATATAGCACCTTATATAGTCAAAGTGCTTTACAATCATTATTACTTGACAGCCATTCATCAAGGTAAATAAACACGGTTTACAATCTATTAACAAATCTAAGCACTTTGGGGCAACCAAATACCCAAGAGAATCTTTTCAGTAGCAAATTCTTGGACTAATACATAGAATTAAGAAAAAAATGTAAAAGACCTGCTACAACATCACATATAAGAAGTCACTTATTGATCTTAATGACTGATATTAAGATGTTAAGTATTAGGAATTATTGAGAAATAGAAGGGTTTATATTAATAAGTAAAACAAATGAGTTGCAAGTCAACAAGAAGTTGCCTAAAAGGTAAGGCTACCTATTCCTTATAAGTGTATGAAAAATAAATCTTTTAGATGTGGAAGGTAATTAAAACTATAAATATCAGCCACACTGCCAGAATTTGATCCTCAGTTACTGTGACATTCCCAAATGAGAAAAAAATTAATGCACTGACTGATTTTTTTTCTCTTGTAATCTCTCCCCAATAACCTAACCAATGCATTCACTTCTACCAGCAACAAGATAGCAGAAAATAATAAAATTCTATATTTATGTTTTAAAAATGGTTTCCAAATCTTCAAACAAATTTAATTTCCTATAAAACAATGTAATAACGAATTTTTCCTCTTTAAATAATTCTATCACGTGCCTTAGGTAAGATCTGATCAGCACCTCTGCCAATGTATTTATGTCTTTGCAAAAAGTGCACTTGCCAACCATTCATTTTATATAGTAGGTATGCAAGTCATTTGAATTGCATTTGAAAACAATTGAAAACACAGATTAATACATCATAAAAAGATTAATTCCCTTTAAACAAAGACATTCTTATAAAGCATGATAACACAGAGGCACAATAAAGAATATAAACTGTATATCAATTATTGGCAAAAAATCTAATTCATTACAAAGCCTACACCATTGGGGAAAGGATGTTTTCATACAAAGAAAAGTACTACACTATCATACAACACTTTTAATTGGGCATTTAAAAAATTTTTGGCACATTAAAAGGAACTGAAAAAACTACAAAATAAAAGACCAAGAAACTAAAACATTACAGATACAGGAGAAAGTCCTCAAATGAGAAACAACTAAATAGTAACATAAAATAGAAACAAAAAATAAGCTGGCTGAATTTCCTGAAATGGTGTTATGTATAACAGAAGTATGTTTTGAACGCAGGGTGTTTTATATTCTAATGGCAAGAATTTTCTACCTTGCCGTGGCTGGTTGAACGTGGCCTGGGTAAGATCTTCTTGTGCTGGTTGCTTGCCTCTGCCTAGCCAGAAACGACTGCCCTGAACCTGTACTAGCGAGTCTATCTTCAGCCGCCTTTTTATGCAGAGTCATTCCCTACATAACACAGAAAAAAGAGTAATTAATGAAAAAATAATGGAACATACTCTCACAAAAGAAAATTCCATCATGCAGAATTTGTTACATTGCATCATAAGGCACAATTAGGAATGTTAATTCTGCTCATTATAGATTAAAACCTTATGGAGACATTTTAGTTCCAACAATTAGGTACAAATCTTCCTTTGGAAAAATTAAGGCTTAATTTTCTGAATTTACGATAACCAAAACATAGATAATAGAAACAGATTTTTGGAATATGTTACCCATTCTCAATCATACATTCCCTTTCCAAACAAATATATGAGGTGATTTTTCCAAGGAAAAAAGTGCGATTGATTGGTAGCAGTTGATTGATTCAAGGAGTTGTGGAAATCACAGGCCATATGTAGAATGGAAAACCATAAATGCACTTCCTGTTTCTTAAGTGGAAAGGCAGACTAAGTATAATACATACCACCATGCTGTTTTTCTTTTCTTCAGGCAGACTTCTATTCTCAAACAAATTAAGAAAAGTTCCTTAAAGCCCCAAAACAAAGGGCCCAACAGAGAGAGCACGGGTTTTTCTTGAAGACAGGAGGATGGCCTACCAGCTTGGAGGGGAGAGGAGCCACGGTTCCTGGGCCCAGAGCACCTTAACAAGAGGGAGGAAACCTCGGGCGTGCTCTCTAAAGAAGGAGCAATTACAACAATGACAAGCCTATGAGGTCAGGAAAAAAGTGGTTTTGGTACTCATCTAATAAGCCACAGCAGAATCCTACCCAGAGAAACATTGAGAACTGACAGCACTGTTTAACCTTAGCAGTGACTGGATAGAAGTAAACTGATGGAAGGAAGTGGAAGGTGGTAACAAGGAAGAAATGAGCAGCTGGGAGCCAGGAAGAGTCCGGCAGATAAGTTGAGTTATGTGAAAAGACACAACGGCTTTTCTGGAATGAACCTGCAAACTGGCACAGAAGACAGAAGACTAAAACATAAACTGTCCTATCACTAGTTAACTTCTAGGGAAAACACTGGTCATGGCTTTGCATTTTTAATAGAATTGCAGTCTATCACATATACCTAAATAAATAACGTTCCTCCATTTACCAATGAGAAAATCCAGAACAGGTTTTTCCCTCAATTTGAAATGAAAACATTTAAGGACTTGAATAGAATTGACAAATATCTATTGGTAATCTTTATTTATTAATTTGACTACATATATTAACAATTATATTTTATTTAAAACATACTATATTTTTACTTTCATATTCTAAGCAACTTATTCAAATTCTTCATACACTTTTTAAGACCTAAGTATCCATCACAAGGCCATTCTCTGAGATACTTAATACCTTTTCCCAGCACTCACAATCTTCACTTCCTTTTCAGTTGTCTGAGATGCAGAACTTCCTGAATGTATATATGAAGCTATTACTGGCTATCTTATCTGAACATAACTTGTATGTGTCTACACGGAGTTATTCCTTCGCTCTCCAGAGAGCTGAAATTTAGGACTATTCCTTAATACTATATCATAGGATAAATTTAGTTCCATAGGAAACATAATATGTGAAGTCATAAAAATCAATCAAGAATATGAAATTACTAATAAGGATTAAAGGGCAGAGCTCCAAGATAGCTATTACTAATCTTTAAGGAGGGCAAAGAAGAAACAGAATAGGTGGAGTCAGGACTAGTTCCCAGAAAACTTTCTTAAATATATAGCTTTTGTCCTATTTAAAATTTTTTAATTTACAAGAAACCTAAATTTGTTAACAATAACAGTATTCTAAACCCAATATAATTTTCTCTTTTCTTAAAAAATAGTGAAAAAAATTTTACCAAGGCAAATACCAATGTGGATATGTCATGAAATTGTATGAATTTCTGACAAAGATCAAGTCACATTATTAGGAAGTCTGGGACACTAAACTTTAAGACACAGTATCAATTATACCTGTAAAACAGAAACAATGGTATTGTGTCAATACACAGCTACAGGGTGAGAGGGGGTTGGTGAAAGGAATCTGGTTTGATTTCCTGCCTTGAGACACTAACATTTTGAAAAGGCAGAAGTGGTCTCACTGGGAAAAAGATAAAAAAAGACAAAATGTCTAGGAAAAATTACTGAAAAAAGTACAGCATTCTTAAAAATCCACAGCTATTCATATATCCAGAAAATCTTATTGAAACCAGAATGATGATAGCATTTGTTTTCCCCTGCAATACATCTAAAGTTTTTTGTGTTGAAAAATCCAATTTCAAAACCTCCAGTTGTTCAGGGTCTAACAACTGTAAACATTTCCCAAACCCTATGAGATAAAGTATACTCAGTGTAAGTACCACTCTTGCAAAGGTAATGAAATAGTCCCACAAAACAAAAGCTACTGCATCTGTTATTCAGATATTATTAAAATATCTGAATTATTAAAATATCTAAATAATAGATGCAGTAGAAGAAAGAAGTTCTGAGAGACAGAAATCGAACTGTCATTTATCTTCCTGTTCTCTAGGGATAATGATGTGTTGAAAATATTCTAATACTGTTCATAGTGGTTCTTATTATCTGCTTTTCAGTCCTAAGGTCAGCATTAACGTTTTGTTAGTGTGTGTTAGGATAGCAATTACTTTCAGATTCATTTGGTAGAATTACTTCTACAGAAAAGAGTGTAATAATAAAGACTATATATTCACTGAACTTTACAATATACATTTTGAAGTGTTATTTTCTTACCATATTGTACCAGGCACTAACAATATATTTCTCCTCCATTTCTCGTTGACTCTTAGTTTTCTCATATTCTTTCTAAAAAAACGAGCACATATAAACACATAGAGATGAAAAACAACTCAATATCAATAACATAGTCACAATTAACTGTCAAAATTAATGGACAGAGCTGCATATAGCAAGGCTTCTAGAAAAACAAAGAAAATCAAAAATCAAATATCTTATTGTATAGTATAGCGAAATACCTCTAATGAATGGAACAGTCGTTCCCGTTCCTGGAGCTGATTTTTAAGAGCTTGTATCTCTGGTGCTGCTCCTTGATTCTGTTTAGGATCTAAAGTACGGATAACCTGCAAAAAATAATAAAAGAAAAAACTTTAAAGTCTCAAATTTAAAGAATGTAACATCTAAAGAAGCACTTATTTAAAAAAAAGGATAATCTTTGTGAGAGTCAAAAGCTATCTTACAAGGATACTTTAAATTTTGAATGTATGAAATAATATTCAATAGTTACAACTTTTAATTATATAAAACTTTTAAATTATGCAGAAGAATCAATTATAAGAAGTAATTCTGGCTTAAAATTAATAAATGATACTACAGCAGACATTACTGATAGTTGTCTACCCTTTTCCTTTCTTCTGATATGGTTCAGCTAACCCTTTGCCTCTGACCAGACATATACTTAGGAAGTGGGTCCCATTGGTTTAGAAGCCTATCATGTGGCCCATTTCCTCTTCTGCCAGTGGCTCAGTTTAGGCACAGGAAACTGGTATTAATCACAATACCATTATCATGTGATGTAATTCTAGCTGGCCAACTTGAGGTCTAGGAAAGGTCTTTTTTGCTTTTTGGCCCAATACTTTTACTATCAAAAACTACCAATCTTATAGAAAACTTGAAAAGGCAGAACAACAAAAACCCATTTTTACCTCAGATTCACTAATTGCCACATTGCCACATTTGATTTCTCTCACACACACACACACACACACACACACACACACACACACAGTGCTTAATTGCTTCGGAGGCTATTTTAAAGCAATCTGTAGACATGATGACACGTAATCCTTAAAGACAGCATGCATCTCCTGTCTAAGGACATTCTCCTACATAATCACAATACCATTATCATCTGTAAGAAAATTAATAATTCTACAAATCATCACTATTCAGTCTAAATTCAATTTCCACAGGTGTTTCCAAAATGTCTTTTCCAACTACCCTTTCTGCTCCTAATCCAGGACCCAACAATTAATGCATTGCATTTGGTCCATAGGTCCCTTTAGGCTTTTAAAAATTATAACAGTCTCTTGTGCTCTGATGCCTATTTTTGTTTTTCATAATACTGATTTTTATCCCAAATTCAGCATTTATCTGATGATTTCCCAAAAGTGTTATTTAACTTGTTCCAATTATCTCATTTTCCCTAGGAACTGAAGTTAGGTCTAGAAGATTGCTTAGATTTAAGTTAAGTATCATTGGCAATGATGTTCCATCAGGAGGGACAAAATGGTTGTCCTACCATTAATGTAGCTAATTTGGGTTACTGGTATAAGGTGGTGATTGCCACTTATTTCCTACATAAAGGTACATTTTCCTCTTGGTACTTCTTACTCTTCTCCTGACAGCTCTCTACATGAGAAGTCACTGTACCTGCACTTTTGGAAGACAGCTATGCTCGCCACTATACCATCGATGCACACTGTACTTGCACTTTTGAGAAGTGATCAGAAAGTGGAGTGAGATGCTCAAGAATGCGTACTTACACTTTTGGCTTTCTCTAAGTATTTTTTATATCGTTCTTCCATTTGTTTCATTTCCTCTTCTTTCTTCCGTAAAGCTTCTTGTAATTCTTCAATTTTTAAGGCTGTAGATGAGACAGTTAAAAAAATTTTTTTAGACTATAACAACTTTAAAAATATTTCAACTAACAAAATAATAGGTAATAGTTTTGAGAGATTGTTTGATCTATTCCTATAGTTTTCTTTTTAAACAATTCATATGTAAATTTTTTTTTTAAACAAAAAACTTCTCATATAAACAAAAACTCTGGTATGGATGTGCTTAAATTAAAAGGTATCCATTGATGGATGAATGGATAAAGAAAATGTGGCCTATACATACAGCCGAATAATATGCCAGTGAATTGTATACCTAAACATTGGTTACAATGGTCATTTTTATATTTTATTACAATAAAAAAAGTAAAAGTCTGTGTTTTGCTCCCACCTTCACACAAAAGAATTAAAAGAAGTCAAGCTATCTATATGTGTAAATATCAACAGAAGTAAAAGTCTGGCTAACTTATATTCAACTACACTATAAAATTAATTTTTTAAAATATTCATTATTTGCATCCATAGTTAAGAAAAAATTCAGAACTATTAGAAAAATTTAAGGAATATTATAAAGATTATATATATATTTTTGTAAATAAAGCAAATTCTTTAATTGCTAGAATAGGTAGGAGGGTCTAGTTCTAAAATAAACAATTCTATATAAACTCATTAACACCAGGGTACTGTATGGTTAACCAATTGAAAACTATGCTAATTAGGAAAAACTCACAGCTGTTGTTAAATCTTGGTTCAAGATCTTCAATAATGGCTCTCTTCTTCTGCAATTCATTATTGGCTTCATGCAGTTTTTCTCTGTAACAAAATATGTAGCACTGTGTCACCTACTACTGTTTGGATTTTTTTCCCTGTCAAATGAAAAATCTAAGTTCTTATTCTTGGAATACACTTACATATAGCACCCACTGCAATGAAACAAAGATGAAAAGATGAATCCAACATGAACTTAAAATATTGTTTAAATAACTAAAAAATAGAGACAAAAATTTCAGAGCTTGAAATGGTAGTCATTTCTTTTACATAAACCTGCACAAGAGGTATAAAGAACTTAATGATCTTTATATTTTTCCTGGGAATAAGGATATTATAAAAGTGAAAAACTTTGCAGAGGTTTCATAATGCAGAATCTTATTGCAAAAAAGTGAAATTCTAAGAATAAGAACAGAAAGGACACTATACCAATAAAAAAGAATAAATTAATAATACATGCAACTGCCTGGATAGATATATCACAGAATGCTGAACATAGGAAGTCAGACACAACAGGGCAATTCTGAATGATTTACATTTATATGAAGTTCAGAAAGTGTCAAAATGAATGAAAGCGATCAAGATCAGCACAGTGGCTACTTTGAGGATGTTATCAATCAATTAGAAGGGAGAATAAAGAATCCTGGTGGGTTGCTGGAAATATTCTATATGTTGACCTGGGTTACCTATATATGTAGGAAAACATTCATCAAGTTATAGACTTAGTAACTGAGGATTTGTGTACTTTACTGTATTTAAGTTATATTCTAATACAAATGTAAAAAAAAATAATGAAGTTTTTTCTTGGTGTTCATATAAAATATGTAATTCTCCCTATGTAATATTTAGTGTTGCACTCTGTAATATGAGAGGGAAAAAAGGCTGCCAAAATTGAGAAATACAGAAAAAAAGCACTTTATTTTTTCTTTCTCATCTTTTCAATGCATAATACATTAATACATTCTCCTTTTTCAACAATTTCTTTGAGCGTGACACACATACACACACACACACACAAATAAACAGATAAGGCTTAAAGAATAAGAAAAACGAAGCCCAGTGAAGAAACAGATTAAGAAAGAGAAATCCCAGAACCACGTGTCCCTATCCCCTTCCTATAGGTAACCAAAATTCAGAATTTTAATCATTTTCATGATTTTTGCAATGGGTTTTTGTATGTATTCCTAAATAATATATTGCTTAATTTTGCCCAATTTTTACTTTATACATTACTTATACTGTATGTATTGTTCTGTGACTTCCATCTTTTACTTAACATTCTGTTCTTGAGATTCATCTATGTTGTTGTTAGCCCTAGTTTACACATTTTTACCGCTGTACAGTGTTCTATTGTTTAAATATACTTCATTCTATCTATCATTTTACAATTGGTAGTATTTGTATTGCTTCTACTTCTCTGTGATTACAAACAATGTTTGTCCATACTTGTATATGTCTCCTGGTACACATGGACAGCAGCATCTCTAGGAATCTAGGGTATATACAGGGGAGAAAAACTGAGGGTCACACAATATGTGCATGTTCAAGTTTACTAAGTAAACTGCAGTGGATGACAATTACAACACTGCCAAACATGTTTGGCAATATATATGTCTGATTCTTAAATTTTACACATTTGGTGTGTGTAAACGACAATGATTTCCATCGTCGTTTTAAGTCTGCATGCAAAAGATCATCATTGGAAATGCCTATGGACCCTGCTGTGGGTTGACCTGTATCTCCCAAAAAGATATGGTGAAGTCCTAATCCCTGGTACCTATGACTGTGACATTTGGAAGTAGGGTTTTTACAGATGTGATTAGTTAAGATGAAGTCATACTGGATCAGGTTGGGCCCTAAATCCAATGACTGGTGTCCTTATAAGAAGGCCATGAGAAGACACAGGCACACGGAGAGAAGAATGCCATGTGAAGATGAAGATAGAGACTGGAGCAATGCATCTACAAGCCAAGGAACACCAAGGATTGCTGGAAGGTACCAGGAGCTAGAGGGGGGCATGGAACAGATTCTCCCTTAAAACTTCCAGGAGGAACCAATCCCGCTGACACCTTGATTTCAGACTCCTGGCCTCAAGAAGAATAAAATCCTATTGTTTTTAGCCACCCAGTTTATGGTAATTTGTTATAGCATCCACAAGAAATGAATACAGGCCTAATCTACACTGATAATTCTTTTTGATGACGACTTTATCATGTAAATGACTGAACACAAAAATGGTCAGACTGTTTTATGAAACAACAGGTATTCTATTTTTTGCAGTAAAGTAATGGGAAATGAAAAAAAGGACAGAATTCAGTACTAAATTCTGACTCTAGGTAATCTCATAATAGTGAGAAGGTAACATTTTCTGTTCTAATACATTAAAAACCTGCCCACTTTAGACCTGCCAGCAAGGGTCGATTGCGAGGAATATCTCATTCCCCACATTTGAAAAAAGAAAAAAATTAACATGACGTAAACTGTCAGACTATAGAACTTCTTTTCAATCTTTGTAGAACAAGTCAAAATTATTTCTGCAGTACTGAAGATATTTGGTTTACCATAATGTAACATTATAACATTCCAACAGACTAGCAATTCATGGCCACCCTATACTCAGTGTTTGTAAGGAGAGAGTTTTGCTAGATAGGAATGATTAAATTTGTTACTGGGTGGGAGAAAAAGTATGAAATATTCCTAACACTGTCAACCTCAGCTAAAGATAAAGATGGGTTAAGATTTCTTCTTCATGAGAAAACAAATGTAATATTTTAAAATTTATTTCATTATTTAGATTAAAAAGTCATGTTCAGATGTCTGTAATTCAAGGAAATATTTGAAAATCTGCTACTTATAAGCTACAGAATACTTTAAAAATTTTACTTAAAAAGGATGACTCAGTTGGCCATACTCTAGAGAGAGCAAACTATAGCCTGTGGGCCAAATTCAGCCCGCTACTTGTTTTTATATATAAAGTTTTATTGGCACACAGTCACAATATTAGTTTATGTACTATCTAAGGCTGCCTGCCTTTAAACTACAACTACAGAGGTAAGTGGTTATGACACACACCATGGCTTGCAAAGCCTAAAGTAATTACTATCTGGCCCTTTACAAAAAAGGTTTCTGACTCCTGATCTTGAGTGTCTCAAACTCTTAACTATAAGTACTATCATGAAGATATAAAACCCTGGAATCTCATCTGAAAACAGTTCTAAAGCAGTCACTGTTCTGATTTGAGGATCTTGAGTGGATAAGAAATGTTAGACACCTTTAATATCTCTTACAGTGTTCTGTACCTTCAAGGGACACCCACGCCACTGCCCAGACACTCATAATCACCTAACGTAAAACAGTTATGTTTCACTAGATAATATATCAATGAGCCTCAACAGCTTTTATACTTACAGATGTTCTTCAAGCTTCTTTTTTAGAAGAACTGACTGAAAATGGAAAATAAAAAAAATGTATTATTTGACATTTTTATTAATAAATTATTTTCTAAAAATTAAGAGCAGAGCAGTAACTAGCTCTGTGTGAGTCCTCTGTAATCTCTCTGATCGAAGAGCTCAAAACACATAATATACCCAAGTTTATTTTTCTTTGATAAGAGAGAGAGCAGCCTGTGACAGGAATCAGTATTAAATACTCAGAAACTGCATATCTTAATTCTCTATTTATAGTTAGGGGAATGAATAAAAAAGCCACTTATGTAGAAACCTAATATTCCTGGGCTCAATAGGCAGGTAGAACTCTAACAATAATAAGTGTCCCTATGACACTTTTTATAGTCTTTTCCTTGCATCATGATAAAGTCTGGGATCAATTTCCATAAATACTGATTTAATCAGTGATTTATAAATGTGCACAGGTTGCAAATAATTTCTGTGATAGTACGGGAACATGAAGGATGGTATATGCACAGAATGTAATGTGCTGGAGAATGTAGCTTTGACTGGGTATTTAAAAAAAAGGGAGGTCTCCTGAAAAGCAGATTAGAACTAACCTAAAAATAATCATAAAGAAGTGTAGCATTCTATATAGGACCTCTAGGTTTTGTATTAAACTTAACATACATATAATTAGTGAATTCTATGAAACATTTCATTTTGAGACAAATGGTTACATAATTAAGTCAGTCGAACCCAATTAATACAGCCTAATAAAACAAGTTGTTCAATCAATCAATAGCAATGATAAGTGGAAAAAACTTACACTAAGTTCTTTGATTTTCAGTCACCTGATTCAATAATGATCATCATAACTGTTTATTCAAATCCATTCTAACACAGCTCTGGAATATTTCAAATTCGCTTTTTTCCTCAAAATGTTAACTACAACTAGATCAGTGGACCACAATGTACTCTATCACTGCTTTCCCCAAACATAAAAAAAAATAATAATAACCCGACTAACTTTTGATCATTGCTTGCTTCTTCTTTAGTATAGAGGGTAAAATGAAAATACTTTCTAAATAACTTAACTTAGATTTTGCACTTATGTTTTGATTAGGCTCCGCAAAATTAATGTTGTAGAGCTAATACATAGTAAAATATATGTTATCTGAAATAATACATAATAGTGACTTAATGAATGGTTAATATGCCAGGCACTGCACTAAAGCTTGTCATATAAATTGTCTCATGTTAACCTCTCAACACTGAGTAATTTTAGTCTATAGTTAAGGAAGGTGAGGCCAGGGAGACATTCGGTAGCTTTCCAGTGACAGATATCCTTTAAGTATCTTAACTGTAAAGTATGTAAACCTATAAGGCAAGTAATATTGGTATACTCATTTTGCATAAAATTCTCATAATTAAAAATTTTAATATCATCAACTATGATGGCAGATAAGACATCAATAGAAAAATTGCTCAATATATAGAAATGAATAGGAAGCCATACTTACAATAGCCTTGAGCAGAAACCATGCCAAGAGACAGAGAGGACATATTAGTATGAAGCATACACAGCAGCCAATAGAAGGAACGATTTAGTAATTCATGAACAGAAGTAAAAGATATGCATTTTTTTTTTCAAAAATGTACATTTTTCTTTCTTCTATGGTCTCCTCATCCTGTCTTGTTCTCTGGAGTTTTATACACTGTGGCTAGCTCAAATTATCCATATGACTGGATATAACAATGCTTTTCTGCTTCCATGCTAAAAATAAATAACATAAGAATAATAATAAAAATGTGTAAACCATCCTACTCTGACTTAAGGTCACATGAAAGGATTGTGCTTTTGTAACAGAAATAGGTAGAAATTATGTTGTTCTTCAGAGGGGACCAATTCCATTTGACAGACTGTTCTACATATTACATATTCCTGAGTTGCAACACTGTAGGTTAGTGGAAGAGAGAAGACAAAAACATCAAAAATCTGCTGGAGTAAAGAACCACATATCCTGTACCACACTATTTCTCTAAAACATTTTGAGGCATATCATCAGAATAAGAAAAGTTTCTAACTGAAGCTTTTCTCTATGTAGAAAAGAGCTCTGACAATTTCCAAGAATTTATAGCAAGATATTTCACTGGCATCTGGTCAGTCAAATAAACTAATCTATGCAAATAGTACTTGACAGGGCTGGCATTTCACTTCTGAAATAAGTTTGCTCAAGGTAATGGAACACAGCATATTTAATTAGATTTGATTACTACAATGATAACTAACCAAGTTATGCAAAATTATTTTTTACAGAATTCCTTTAATGCATATTTTAACATAATTGAATCGAATATAATGGTTATTGCAGCATGAAGGTTGAGCTGATGCTGATGTTTCAGTTTTTACTTCCTGTGTGCCACACGACTTTCCCCTCCAGAGCACAACTAATCAACAAAAAGTGTCCTCGGAGTTTCAGAGACCAAAATGAAGTTTACATTTACCTCAGTTTAAGGGACCTAGTGATTTCACTGAACTAAGAAATATTACTCACTTTGGTTCATCTCTAAGATAGTCTTAGTTAGGCTTACTAATATTTTAATACATTAATGGTGGTTTTGCTTCACCTCTTTGTGATTTAGCATTCTGGATAAAAGCATTTTAAAAAGTAAACCACAACACTTCAAACTAGTTCCATTTTGACAAGGGAGTAATGCTGTTTAAATGTTGGTGACAATTTTAGGAACTAGAAATCAATCTGGAAATCTAAGAACTATCAACATTTCAATTAAAAGATAAACTAAAACCAGTGATCTTAGAAAGAAGAGCATGCTGCCAATATAAGCTACATGTATACTTAAGAAACTCATAAAATTAGCTCACTGATGTTTAAGAAGCTCATAAAATTAGGTCATTGAAGAGCTTTTTATATCTACTAGTCTGAGGGTTTAAGTAATATACTAGTTTAACTCCCTTTCTTTGGTTCTTTTTTTTTTTTTATACTCTCTGAAGGGTGGATGAAACTGGACCTATCCATAGTTTTGATGCAGATCCCCAAAATAACTCTAACAATGGAAACAACCAATAGGCTTATACTCAAAGGCCAGAGTTTATAGCAAATTACATGGGCAACAGAAAAATAAAGAAGAAAAGAAACCCAACTGGCTGAAGCAAAGATTGGTCACTAAAACTGACTACTGTACTATGTGCTACATAAGCACTGTGATAGACAGTGAGTATGAGGAGGTGAAGGAATGCCTAGTTCCTGGCTCTACACATTTACTATACTCCAGATCTGAGTGTGCCAGTCCCGCAAGCAGGGCTGAGACAGATATACAGAGTGCTAAGGAAATATAAAAACAGTCAGTGAACTTATATTTGAGTGTGTATTGGGGTTGCAAGAGCAATTCAGAATTTAAAGATGATGGGATTCTAGGGATGATATTATTTTCTTAAATATCAATTTTACATCAAAAATTTCTACTTGAACACGCTAAGTTTCCACCAGCATTTTTTTTTTTTTTTTTGGCCACAGGAAAAAATTCTATACTTTGAATACTGAATTGAGCACATGTAAAACATAGAGCCTCATTAATTCTTAGCTAAGAACTACAAATAAACTTCTAATTCCCAGCAGAGTAAATCTGAAAGAGACAATAAAGTACTGCCTGGCCCTTTTTATAAGGAATGTTAGAAAAAGGAAAACACTTGTTTCTTTTATATAATCCATATAATTATAAATTATTTTGATAGTGACCATCAAATAAAAAAAAAATAAAGTTACAGCTTTTGTTAACATTGTGAAACTGTTGGACCACAGTTGGTATATATTAAAACTTACATCTTCTGCTTTTGATCCTTGGTCCTGTAAAGATTTTTGCAATTCTTCAACTTGTGACTGTACTTCCAGGAGTCTTTGATTCACCAGCCTAGAAATCAAATGTATATTAATTTTCCAAATTCTGACTTAATTTCTGCCTTTTTCCTTAGGTTATCATATTGGTTAGAGAAACAGTATAAGTAGCAAAACAAAACCTAATGTTTTATAGTAGTAGTAGCTCACTCTGATTATTTTCATATTGCTTGAAATTTCTATGATTATTTCAAACATAGTGTTTTGTGGACACATTTTGTCGAACTGATGTACCTACAACTATTTATCTAAAATTCACTTCATGTTTATTCAAACTATGTGTCAGCACTATGCTTAGCACTAGCGTTAAAAGATCTCTGCACTCAGGGAAATTAGTGGGCAGGCAAAATATAAACAAATAAAATACGAGATAAATACTTCAACATAGTGCACAGATGTATACAAAAGGATGATGACTGCTCAAAGAACTGTACCTGATTGTGTAAAGCAGTTAAGGATAGGCCTGACTTAAACTGAGACTAGGACAATAAATAAAATACTTACGTGATTAAGGGTAAAAACGGAATTCAAGACAGAGAATTCAGCATGTCCAAGGTGTGCAGAAAAATGAGAGGGTACAGTGAGTTCAGCAATGGTATTGCTGAAGAATAAACTGTGAAGGGTAAGACTGGATGGAGATGAAAGCAGAGGAAAAAGAGCGGGTGGGGACAAACTTATGTGAAATGCAAAAGAATTTGTAACTTATCCTATAATCTGGCCTAAAATTTGGCTAGAACTGGAATAACCCAGCCAGCTTTTAATAATGCTGATAACTGGAACTTGGTCTAGGTCACTATGATACAACATTCAGTAGACAATCCTCTAGGTCACTATGATACAACATTCAGTAGACAAGTTTGGTTCCTAGGTCTTGGGTAATGCTGAGGATTGCCAGAAGGGAGAAACATGATCAGATGGTATTTTAGAAAGATCACACTGGTTTGAATGGAAGA